CAAAGTAAGCAGGGAACCATATAGCCTCTGCCATCACATTACAGGTGCCCTGGAAGCAAGAAGAGGTCTGAATGAACTAAATGTTGTATAAAACTTTTGTAATATTGGTGTATATATATATATATATATATATATATATATATATATATATATATATATATATATATATATATATATTGCTGTGTCAGGTGATAGATGTGCAGCAGAAACCAATACAAACTATGAATTCTCTAGGTTCTATCAGTTCCTGTCCTCTTCCAATCCCTTGGCAACCTGCCTTTGCAATGGGATGGACCATGGACCACATGCCTTTCCTGTGCTAGCCCTCTGTAACCATCCAACAACCCTTCAGTGTGTGGACCAAATTCAGCTCAACCAACTTTCAAGAGACAGAACCCATTGAAAATGGTAGTGGTTGAGGGTCTTTCTGCTGAGACAGAAATATATATATATATATATATATATATATATATATATATATATATATATGTATACCCCCAAATACAACAATACCAAAGGCATGGTATTCAGCAGAAAGACCCTCAACCACTACCATTTTTCAATGGGTTCTGTCTCTTGAAAGTTGGTTGAGCTGAATTGGTCCACACACTGAAGGGTTGTTGGATAGTTACAGAGGGCTAGCACAGGGAAGGCATGTGGTCCACGGTCCATCCCATTGCAAAGGCAGGTTGCCAAGGGATTGGAAGAGGACAGGAACTGATAGAACCTAGAGAATTCATAGTTTTGTATTGGTTTCTGCTGCACATCTATCACCTGACACAGCAATAAAAATAAAATGTTGAGGATGAAGACCTGGGCATAACTCTCAGCCCAAACAAAGTGCACATACTTTGTGTGGTGTCTCAACAGGATGGCACCAAAAACACCACATAAACTCAAATGATGGTAAGGGGGACACCAACAATGCTGAGGAACATGTAGAACCTCAGGCACCCAAATCATGTTTAAGAGACCCCAAGTAAAGACAGGACACACTGAGGGCATGCAGCTGCCACCAGCTAGAGCAGCCCTGCTAGAGCTGTGTCATTCCATGAAGGGTCATGCCATCCTGACTGCCTTCAGAATGGAATGACCCTTCTGACTATGGTGCTATGGTGATATATATGGTACTATGTATATGGTATATAGATGGCACTAAGGTGCCATGGACACAGGTGCTATGGTGCTAATAGACATTTTGTTTAACAAGGTGATGTTTTGGCCTTGGATGGAGAAGCTCATACAATCAGAGATACTGTGGAATTGACTTTGTAGGGGCTGAAGGGGTGACAATTTGTCATGATTCATGACTTGAAAACACATTTTAAGGGAAATGAGACCCTTTAGCTGCTCTCCGAACTTCTATGATAACGCAAGTAGCAGCTGCGACGAACTTCTGGGCACTAAATGCCTAAATAAATGCAGGCCTGAACACACAGTCAATAAGCGTTCGCGGCGGACCATCGCCTCGTTCTCTTCCGGAGCCCCCCCGCCATCAGCGATGACCTGTTACGGGCGAACAGCCTATTAACACAGTCGCCTCCTTTGTGCTGCGGGTCCGAGCCAGGCCTGCCTCCCTCCACCGAGCGTGGACCTGCCGGCCGGCTGGCTGGCAGTCGCGTCGCAGGTCACTGACCCACCCGCACACACGCACGCGTGCCGCCGGGCGCCAGCGGGGCCGGTTGGGTCGGCCGGCTGCTGTCCCCGGGTGAAGGCCCAGTAGTGACGCGTCGCGGGTGGTCCGCCACGTCCACCCGGGACTCGGGACAGAGACCCGTGCGGGAGCGGTTGAATTAGGCTGTGGTGTTGTGTGCAGCTGTTGCTGGAGAGAGGGAGCGCCTAGAGCCGTAGCTCCCGGCGGCTGCGAGAAGCTCATGTCCCCGGCTCCCGGTCCATCGCGACAAGTGGTTGATTATTGGACGCAGTGTTAGTATTGTACATGCCAATGTCCGTCTGGACGCGTGTTTCGAGCGGAGCGGTCGGTTCTGTCCGTTTCCCGTCCTGTCAGCACTGGCGGCCCGTTGCCCTGCCGCTGGTCGGAAGTCTTCGCGTCCGGATTCTGTCAGCGTCGGCTGATGTAGTTTCAAACTTTGATATTGACTGGGAAAAAACATGTTTTGCTCCTGAAATGTGTGTCCAGTGACAGCAGAAATGCGACTTCCGAAAAGTTCTTTCCAAAGGCGATGGGTTTCAGTGCCGGTCGTGTGTGGCGCCCCAGGACCGAAGGAGGTCAGGGTGGAGTGCTGTTGCGAATACGGGTCGGTATGGGGTCTGTATCTGTACCACGCTCTGGCCGTGGATCCGAGGGAGGAGCGGGCCAGCTGACACGCGCAGCAGCTGGCGGGGGGCGTCCCGTCCGGCCGTCGACGGGCGCCCAGTCGGCCTGGTTACACAGCGGACAGTCCGTAGTCAGCATCGCGACCAGAAAAAATGTAAATTTCTGACGGAAAGCATTTAATAATGGATACTCAACCTTCAAAGCTGGATGCAAGGAAATGTCATACTATGTCTGCTTTTGGCACGTCAGATATGGAATAGTGTTGTAACATGCATATCACGGGGATGCACTGCGTTTGTTGCAGGGATGTGCTATTTTATTGATCGACAAATAATTGATGCATAACAAAGTACGATAATGGCTGTATGCACTTGGCTAAGTGGAGACGGCAGGAAGGCGGGGAAGGCTGGGAGGCTTCCCTCTCCCTCTCCCTCTCCCTCTCCCTCTCCCTCTCCCTCTCCCTCTCCCTCTCCCTCTCCCTCTCCTCTTCCCTCTCCCTCTCCCTCTCCCTCTCCCTCTCCCTCTCCCTCTCCCTCTCCCTCTCCCTCTCCCTCTCCCTCCCTCTCCCTCTCCCCTCTCCCTCCTCCCTCTCCCTCTCCCTCCCGCTCCCGCTCCCTCTCCCTCTCCCTCTCCCTCTCCCTCTCCCTCTCCCTCTCCCTCTCCCTCTCACTCTCCCTCTCTTTTTCTCCTCCATCCCCCTCCTTCTCCCGTCCTTAGAAATCAAAATTGGTTAGGTCATCTCTACCTGTTGTGCTCGTGCCTAGCGCCGCACTGTATTCCGTCTCCTCTCTTACATGCATTGAGAGCGTGATTCGATTCCCTCGCTGACCGACCTTTAACCAGCTGGGTTAGCTGGTACGGAGGGTCTCGAACTGATGGAGCCGGCCACTCCGCGTCTGGCTGCGACGTGCGATACTCATTAGACGGACTGCTTGCTTTCAACCTAAACAGCGTCCGTCAGTGTTTGGGAAGTTTTTTGTCAGTCGATCCAATCTGACGTGGCAGGCGCAAATGGCGCGATGTTGATTACGCAAGTGGTGCCCCAGGCTGTTGCAAGGAACAAAGCGTGCGACCCTGAACAATGCGTGTACCAGTGTGGTCCAGTATGTTGCTGGGTGGCCTCTGCCGTGCTCTAGTTATGTTAAGGGGTGGTCAGCGGCCGAAGCTCCTGTTGTCAGAGTGTCCTGGCGTGTTTTTGCCGCACCTTGCTGCATGCATCTGGCGGAATACAGGATACCTGCCGCTTTTTATACGACTAGCTGGGGTTCAGTCCGCGCAGGGGATCCGTCCCGGGGGCTGCTGTCCCTCCCCCAGAGCGGCAGCTGCACCTGCTCTCCTTCCCTCGCTCGCAGGAGCCACAGGCGACTTTTGCCAAGAGATGACGACGCATGCGTCAGCCCAAATTATGTTTGATATTGCGTTATGGATGTGCTTGATATGGTGAAGACAGGCCTCCAGCTCCTGGTTTGTTGGTAATATGAGGTGACATGTCGTACGCCGGCGACCTTCAGTATATCAGGAGGTACTTTTGAAGCGACGTTGCGATGCTAACTGGTGATAATAGTGACGGTGCTTCATATTTCTATCTTTGCTCATCCTCAAGAACCTCCTGAGGATGAGTACAGCCAGAAATACTGCGTACTGTCGATATAGCCGTCATTTACCATAGCAACGTCGTGTAAACCAGTGCTTCCTGGTGTCTTGATGACGGTCGGTAACTTAACATACGAACTTTCAACTCGTAGTGTTGCTATGAAGAAACTTATTCTGACCCCAATTCACAGTGGATGCGGTTGCTTCCGACCCTGACTCAGAGTGACACAACGCATGAGTCAGTTCTGATTCTGATTCAGTGAGACAGGAACAGAGTTCGGAAGCGGGTCCGGTGACGTCGATTCCGGCGACAATGCTGTAGGAGACCGTCATTTGGATATGGTTCACAGCCTTTCATGGGACACTTGCTCCGACAAGACGGTTTTATATATGGCGGTGTTCCATTTGCTGCACACGTAAGCTGTAGCATGCCTGCGTCCGATTGTGGACTTGTATCCTGTGTCCTGTGTCCTGTTCCGGTGTGGACGGCAGCCGACTCTCGAATGACTTGGTGGACTAACACCACTCCTGCTCTGATGCACCAGAAGGGCGTACGTGATGCGCTGCCATCCTGGCTCAATGGCAAGTTGGTTCGCTCCCTAGTCGATTCGCACTTCAGCCTAAGTTGACCACAAGTCTGGCCCAATATCGATTTTGGACACTTTGATGCCATTTTCCCATCCGTCGCTGTCGTCCTATGGAGACCGTGAATTTTTGGAATGGACCCGAGCGCCTAGAAGTATACTCAGTGACACGCTTGGTGTCAGGCTCTCGGGGGCCGCCGTCGCCCCGGGTGTGCCGTCTTATCGGCGGTCAGTGGCCGCTCGCCGCCGGGGCGCTGCGGCGCCGTCGCTCCCGTCGGTCCGTGCCGGCTGTTTGAGGCTCAGGCCGGTGGCGCCGACACGCCGCGGACGCCGGCCGGCAGCGGCGCTGTCGGCCCGGTCCTGGCCTGCCCTTGTCCGACTGTCCGGCGGCCGCGCCGAACGTCCGCTTCCGGGGCGCGTCCTCCGCCGACCGATCGGCGCCGCTGCCACGCGCGCGGGCGGCGGCGCGCGGCGTCAGTAGCGGACCAGCGGCGGGCCGGGGAGGACGCGCCGCCGCCGCCGCCAGCCGCCGCCGTCAGGCCGCTATGGTCGGCACCGCAGGTGAGCCGCCGACGAGCACGGCGGGACGTGGGCGGCGGACTCTGCGGGAGGAGTGCGCGTCCACTGGTGTGACGAGAACTGTGGGGTCAGCTGGGCCACTGGCTGTACGGGGCAGAGTTACCCTGCAAGCGACTACTGAGGCCTCACGTGCGGCGAATGTGCTCCGTGGCATTGTTACGTCCACGTTTGTCGAGTACATCTAGTTCTGATAAAATAATTATGCGTGAATTTCTCATCCTCTTCTCTCCTCCTTTCGTGGTCTCCCTTCCTTGTCTCCCCGCTCTTTACTGCGGCAGCGACCAATCATGCCTTCTTTGCTGGTACACGGGTGAGGCCTTGGTGGTCATAGTCTGTTGCCGTTTGTCCACCGCGTCATGTGGCCGAGAGTTGATCATCTGTTGGCCGGCTGCCGTCGCCATGACGCTAACGGAGGTAAATGGGCCGGGCGCCGCTGCTCCGGCCAGGCTGCTCCGCCGGCTGCAGCCGTTTTCACCCAGCCCGGCTGTGGTCGTTGTCGGCCATCTCTCCGCGTGTCTGGCCGCTGCCAGCCGGCTCGTGCCTGTGTTGCCTGCCGCCGGCATGTCCGCTGAAGCACGGCCCTCTGCCTGCTCGCCCGCACACGCCTCACGCCTGCGGGCCTGGCCCACATCTCGACGGCCGCAGCGGCCTGGCACTCGAACGTCTCGGCTGCCCTGGTCCGTGTGCTGGTCCGCGTGCGTTCCGTGTGCTTAACTGTTCTGCGTTCTTCGCCACCGCGCCGCCGTGCGGCCGTTCAGGCGGCGGGGCGGCGTCACGCGCCCGTGACTTCACGCCGTGCGCGTGAGCGGCGCTGCCGTGAGCAGTCGTCGGCGCCGTTGTGTGAACGGTGGCGGCTCGGTGGGCCGGCGCCGGCCCGGGGCGAGAGAAGCGGCAGACCGGCGCTACCGTGCCGGCTAACGGGCACTGCGCCGGGCCTGACCCGGCGCAGTCGTGATCTGCTCCCGCGGAAACGCGCGCGAGGTGGCCGGCCGTGGTCACGGGCCGGCAGACGGACCGCTGCCGGTCCCAGGGCGTTGGCACTTGGGGAGATGCCAGCGGTTGCTATCGCGGTCTGACGGAATGGGATTAAAGGGGTGAGCACTGTGACTAGGTTTCACAAGCATGCGAGAAACTGGTGAGTGACACGCGGCGCTGTATCGCGGACGAGGAAGTGATGCGGCGCTGCTCCGTGTCACGGGAAGTGATGCGGCACCGCTCCGTGTCACGGGAAGGGGTGCGGCGCTGCTCCGTGTCACAGGGAGGAGTGTGGCGCTGCTCCGTGCCCGGGGCAGCTTTGCGGCGCTGTTCCGTGTCACGAGCAGGGGTGCGGTGCCGTCCCATGTTACGGGGAGGGTTGCGGCGCCGGCTCGTGTTACGGGGAGGGTTGCGGCGCCGGCCCGTGTCACGGGGAGGGTTGCGGCGCCGGCCCGTGTTACGGGGAGGTTTGCGGCGCCATCCCCTGTCACGAGGGGGGTTGCGGCCGCGGCCTGACGTGACTCGGCCGCCGGCGACGGCAGGCTGAAGACCGTCCTATCGGCGCCGCGGCCTGACGTGACTCGGCCGCCGGCGGCGGCAGGCTGAAGACCGTCTTACCGGCGCCGCGGCCTGACGTGGCTCGGCCGCCGGCGACGGCAGGCTGAAGACCGTCCTACCGGCGCCGCGGCCTGATTCCTACCCTGCTGGGCCGCGTATGAGTCAGGCGCCCCTCCCCCGCCAGAGCCCTTTGTCCTGCGCGTGGCGCGCGGCCCGCCTGCCGGGGTCTGCTGCAGGCGGCCGCCTGGGGCAGTGACCGGGCTCCGTCCCACGGGGGGAGCGGGGCGGCACACGTGGCTGACTCCGCCGAACGGGTCCCTGGTGCACCCCAGCCAGGGTTGGCCCGGGCAGGGCTGCCCTGCGAGCGGGTCAACGGCCGGCCAGCCGCGTCACACAGCTGGCGGGTCGTTCGGTTGGATGGTCTGCTGTCTGTTCAGGTAGTGTTTTCAGGTCGGGCGGCTGCTCGCAGGCTCAATTATTCCTCTATCGGGTGTAATGTGACGTCATATTCACTTCATATCTCTGTCATATTAAACGCCTCGCGGGTTATGTACGACAAGACACAATTTTCCATTGTCATGTCAGAAGGGCCTTCTGTCGCGCAGCGTTTAAGTCCGATGGTCATTTGTCACAGCCAAAACCAAGTAAAATATTCCCCGTGAAGTAATATGTCATACATTCTTAAGTCAGATGGTTCACACTGTCATGCCGGGTGTTCCACACCGTCAGGGCAGATGGTCCAGTATGACGTCATGTGGTCTCCAGGTCAGTTCAGGTGGTCATTTTCCCAGTTCAAAGAGTCGTGAGCTTTGTTGATACTCAGTGCCGTCAGATGGCACTATTGCCGCTGTTGGGTCTGACGCCGTTTCGTGGACGGATAGTATATTGTCCGGATCATAACACTTAAATATGAGGTTCATATCGGACCAGGGAACAAAGTTGGCACGCATGCGTCATGTCGTTTGTCGCAGCCAACACGAAGTCAGACATTCCCTGTGTAGTAATTATTTTATATCTTAAGTCACAGGGTTCACCAGATCATGCCTGGTGTTGCGTCAAAACCGCACTTGTGCGCGGTTTTGTTCTTCTGTTTATCTGAGGATTAATCACTGGTTAAACATGTATGGCGTTAGCAACCATGCAGGAAATGCGCTCTTAGTACAGGACTTATACAGTCTGACTTTAGAGCACTAGAGCCCGTTCTCTGCGTGACCTTTTAGTAGTGGTGTTGTCTGGCAGACGGTTGCCCCCAGTAGGCCGTTCAGCGCAGCCGACTGAGTGATGGCCTGGCGGCTGCGCCGGTCCAGCCTGGAAAGAAGCACAGCTGGCTGTCTTTTCTCGTCATACAACCGACATGATCGTGTCGGGGCCGCGTCCCTCCGCGCCTGTCCGGTGCTGTCGGCTCTGTGTGTGACCGCCGGGCTGGGCCGGGCCCGCTGACCCAGATCGGCCGCGACCCCTGGAGGTCTGCCACGGCCGCGGCGCGCCGGTCGATCCTGCAGCTTCGATCGGCCGCCGCGCCCGCCGCTGAGAGCCGGCCGGCTCGGCATGCGGCGGCGCTCCGGCCGCCTCGTCCCCGCTGTCACTGCGCCGCGCCCGCCGCCTCTCGGCCAGCGCGGCGGTCGCGCAGCGGTCCCACGCGTCGCCGAGCACTTCCGTTGCGCCCGAGGATGCCACCCCGTCCGTCGCGTCGCAGCCGCGTGCTGTGCTGCTGTGGTGGCTCTAGAGGTATCTGCACCCGTCCAGGCGGTCCTGAACGGTGCCACGCCTGTCACTTATCCCAGGCGTCCCCTTATAGCGGCCGTCCGTCAGACGTCAGTGGCCTCGTCTGCTACGCCCGGGGGTGCCGCTCCCGTCCGCTGTGGTCCAGCTGGTCCACAGCACTCAGCGCCACACGAGTCCTCCCTGCGCCCGTCCGCCGGCCCGGGGCGTCACGGGTCTGACGTGTCCCGGCTCGCGCTGGCGCGGCGGGCAGGCTTCAGGAGCTGGGTGTTGCCGGGCGACGCCCCATGTGTGATGTGCAGGTCTGAGTTGACCACGGGTGGTTACCCAGCCCAGCCATTCAGCTGCAGCTATCGGGGATCGCCGGCAGCTTGTCGGCGGCCAGCGCCAGGGCCAAAACTCCGCGCGTCCAGCCTCTCCTCGTCTGGCTGCGTGGCGGCCATGTGTCACGTGCCTGTGTCCGGCAGTCGCCGTGTGACCGTGATCAGCTCCGTGACCGCTGCCGGGCTCTCGCTCCGTGACCGTTGCCGTGTCCTCGCTCCGTGACGACTGCCGGGCTCCCGGGTCCAGCCCGGTGGCCTGCTGACCAGAGCGTGACGTCGCGCATGGTGTGCTGAAGACCGGCCCGGACCGTGCCGCCCAGTAATGGTGGTGACACTCGCGAAGGTGGCCCGTGGCGCGTGACCTTTGTCCCAGTGCCGGCCTCTGTTCTGTGCTGTGCGTCCCCGCTACCGGACGTGGCGCGGGCGCAAGTGTCCCGCTCGAGGAACGGCCAGTGATGGTTGTTTGGGCTTTTTCTCTGTGACGCGCCTTTTACCGGTGTCTGTGGGCCTGCGCTGAAAATAACCCCCCTGGGCTGCACGATATGGCACCAACTTTGAGAGGATAGCTCTGTGGGCTGAAGGTTCGCTTTCCAGGTATTCATGGAGATTAAATATGCCTATGTGCAACTGGTTGACGAGAATCCCTCGTGACACATCTCCGACTCCGATTGTCCGTCTGACAGTCGCATTCTGCAAACCCTGCAGCTATTCCGAGAGTGACGGCACGTATCAGCCCGCGGCCTGGCCTCGCCGCGCGCGCCGCGGTCACTACGCACCGCCCTGGTGCACGCGCACTCCGGCCGAGGCCGGGCGCACCCACGCGCGACTCGTATGCCTGTCACGGCCTGAAGGGGGCATATCGCGGTCAGCGCGGCGTGCGCCGAGGAAGTGGCGGCGGCGCGCGGCCTTGATGCGGCCGCGCCGTTTCCAGCCTTGGCGCGTGATGGGCGCGTGCATCCATCGCGCGCGCTCGCTTCCGGCCACGGGGGCATCGGCAGGCCGGGCCGCACGTGCCGCACGGTTGGGGCCCTGGCGTTGGTGTTGGTGGCGGGGTCGGAGAGGGGCGCTCTTTGTGGTGGCGTCGGCTCGCGCTGGCATCGATCGAGCGCCGGCTCCACGGTCGCCCAGCTGGCGGCTGTGACGCACTGGACCGAACCGGCGAACTCTGTCTGTAGGCTGCCTTGCCAGTGGGGAGACGCCGCCCTGTACCTCCCCCACTGGCCCGATCCTACCAGTACCTCCCTCCCCCACCGGCCCAATCCTACAGTACCTCCCCCCCCCCACCGGCCCGATCCCGGCCGGCTGTTTACTGGCCCCGTTTGTCGGCGCCAGCTGAGTGTGCGGCTGGGGCCGACATCTGCGGCCTGTTGATGTGTCCTGATGACGTCCCCCCTGCACACACATACACACACACACACACACACACACACCCCTCCGCCCGGCCGGCCGACTGTCCACTCCAGCGGGCAGGTGGGCCTCACTGCCCGGCATCGAGCGCCGGTCGGCGAGGGCCCCTGTCCGTACCGGAGCGCTGCGGGCTGTCCACTCCAGCGGGCAGGTGGGCCTCACTGCCCGGCGTCGAGCGCCGGTCGGCGAGGGCCCCTGTCCGTGCCGGGACGCTGCCGTGGACCGCCGCCGCCGGCTCCCGTGGCCTGCTCCTGCGGGCGCCGGCGGCGGGTCGCTGCGGCGGCTGCTCGGTCAGCTGCTCACGTCATACCCGAGCCGAGGCCCAGGCTGCAGACTGTGCGATAACGCCACAGTGATCGGACCGCCCACCTGCTGCGTACGGTGCGCAGCAGTACAGCGGGGCGGTAACGCGTACCGCGCTGCAGTACAGCGGGGCGGTAACGCGCACGGCGGTCTGATCGCGGGTGCTTTCCTCGTCCTGATTTCCTCGTCACAAGGTTGTGCAGCCATAACAGGAGGGCGTTGATTTGCGTCGGACGCTTGCACCCACGCCTGCGTGTGGGCGTTGCATTGCTGATGCCGCTGTTTTCCTGACATTGGCCTTCGTCAGTGCGAGGGGCTCCGTTTTCGCCGTGTCTGATGACTGGCCGACACCGAAGCCCCGTGTTGACGGCTGGACTGGCGTCGAGCCGGTATCTTGATGTGGCTGGGGCGGGCCGCGGCGCGACAGGAGACCGAGCCTCGGCGCGCCGCTCGGGCTGCGACGCGACGAGTCGGCCGCCTCCGTCAGCGTTCAGCCGGCCGGAGGCAGGCCGACCGCCGGCCCGCGCGCCCTGTCCGGTGACGTCTCCGGTCTCGGGTCGTCACGTGCGCCACGTCACCACGTGTCGCGGGCGTGGCCGAAGTGGAGGGATGCTCTTGACCGTCCCAGAAGGGGGCAGCAGAAGCGCACCGCCACGTCCGTCCGCGCACGAGTGCTGCCTTTAGCATTTTGCACTGCTGCTGGCGGGACAAACGCGGCGCGCGGTGGAGCTGCACAGCTGTGACCAGACTGCGTCGGCCGCATCGGAAGGGGCCGAGTCGGCCGCATCGGAAGGGGCCGAGTCGGCACAGACCCGGAAAACGTTGGCATCACCGGCGGACAAAAACGTCCGCCGCTTGATGGTCGCGGATGTCTGGCAGGCGACCAAAACAGATATGCGGGCAGCACTGGCGGACGTTGTTGTCTGTTGGCGGCGCCGTCCCAGCGCAGGCTCCTGTGCGCCTTGTCCCCGATCCTTGTGTGGAGACGACGGATTAGGTACTGTTGACTCATCGTTTTTGCTGGTCGGTTGCAGCTAATGCCGCTGCTTTCTGCGTGCGCCTCCTTGTCCGAATGCACGGATTCCATCTGTTTGACTCATTGTTATTGTGCTCCGCCTATCACCGGTAATGCTGATGAGACTTGTGATAGACGTCCTGATGTCGTAATGTCTCCGAGCTGATCAGGCCTGTACGGATGCCTTCGCAGGGTCAAGGAGGGAGTGGGCGAGTGGTCAGTCAACTCATAACAAGCATCAGGTTTTATCAAAACTCCAGGCAAGCAGCTTGCTTAAGCTGCGACGACATTTGGGACCTCTTTCCCGTGTTGAAGCGGTACTGATTGGTCCTTGTGGTTGTCGGCAGCTGGATTACCAAACAAGGCCAGGGCTGAGTCATTTCGTCGCCGGGTAGAAGCCGCGTTATCGGCGTGAGCCCTGATTCACGTTGATGGAATCACGATGCCCACGTCGTCAAACACTCCGGTGCGTCAGACGAGGACGGCCGCCAGCGCTCGGTAGCAAAGACAGGAAGACAAGATAAGCCTCCTGATAAATATGCTCGGAGCCTTCCAAAACAAGCCAGCGTCTGCGGTATGCCCGGGGGCAGAGCGGCGCGTCTGCCACGTCCCTGTGGGAAGGGGCAGACCAGTGGTCCTTTGCTTTGGACTGGAAGGTCCGGCTGCCTCCACATGTGTTCGATGGGAGTCCCGGAGTACGTCATGCGTGCGTATCTTATTGGGAGGGTCACAACCTCAGCGTGCCGTCCTGCCCGTGCCAGCGCGGCGGTCCGGTGCCGCTTCTGACTGCGCGTCTGGCGGGGCGGGCCGGGCGGCCGGATATGTGCCACGCCCGCCGACCGAGCCCAGCATCGACCCGGACGGGGCGGTCGGCCGGCGGCCTCCATTCATCCCGCCACGCCACCGGCGAACGAGCGGCAGCGCTGGAGGTCGCCGGGGTCATCCGGCAGGTCGCACGATCACTCAGCGGGCGTCGTGTCTCTTCGTTTGGAGCAGAGGCGTGGTACTCAGGGATTTAATCCAGTGTAATGCGGCGTGGGGAGGAGAGGATAAGACCTTCACGAAGAAGTGCTTGTGGAGGGAGATATCCAGATCGCACTGCGGCGGGTGTGCACAAGCGAATAAAGCCACCGCTGCCTCATCCTTGGGCGAATTGGGAGAAGTGTCTGCGGTCGCGGTTCGTGACGGACGGCTTGGCTTGAGAGTGCCGTGTTGGCGGCGGTGCTCGTCGCCCGGTGCGGGCGCACCGGACCGGCCGGCCGGCGCCCGGTGCGCCGCTGACGTGTCGGCGGCGGCGGCGCCTGGCCCGGAGCGTGCGCGGCCGCCAGCTGCGGCGGACGGCCGGCCGACGCCGACGACGGCCGCCGACGGAGGCGCGCGGGGAGAGCCGGTGGGCCGATACGGCCGGCGGCCGGCGCTATCGCGGCCGGCGGGCCGGCCAGTCGTCCGCCCGGCGGCGCCGCGCCGCCACACGGCCGCTGACCGACGCCCGGGCCCGCAGGCGATGCCCGGCTGGGAGTGCCCCGGTGGTGCGCGCGGCACGCTGACGTCATGGAGCAGCTGAGCCTGAGCGGCCGTCCGTCGCGCTCGCGCAGTGTGTCGCCGGCCCCGCTGCTGCCGCCGCTGCCGCCGGCCACCCTCAGGTGAGTGAGCAGCCGGGCAACTGGCTGAGAAGCGCCACCTCTCCCCGTCCACTCCAGGTCAGCAGTGCCCATCGCGCGTCTGGTCCTCGTTTACTGACCATCCCACTTGATCAGCCAGCTTCTGGCCAGTAATGCCCGCCTCCGGTCCAGTCCCCAGGTCATTCATCGCCCTCCCCCTCAGGTCAGGGAGTGTGTGTGTATCAGGTCCGTAGTTTCCCATGTCAGGTCACCGACGATCTTCCCCGGATCTTTAGAGCGTGTTTGTGCATGCCATTGTTCGACCACACCCGCCACAGTTCCCTTCCGGTAACTTTCCACCTCGCAGCTCAATAAATGTCCGACCCGGCCATACCCCAGTTCAGTGACCGCCCACCCCATCCCCGCACCTCATTTCAGTGACCGCCCACCCCATCCCCACATTCCAGTTTAGTGACCGCTCACCCCATCCCCGCACCCCGGTTCAGTGACCGCTCACCCCATCCCCGCACCCGAGTTCAGTGACCGCCCACCCCATTCCCGCACCCGAGTTCCGTGACCGCCCACCCCATCCCCGCACCCCAGTTCAGTGACCGCCCACCCCATCCCCGCACCCCATTTCAATGACCTCCCACGCCATCCCCGCACCCCAGTTCAGTGAACGCCCAGTCCATCCCCGCACCCCAGTTCAGTGACCGCCCACCCCATCCCCGCACCCCAGTTCAGTGACCGCCCAACCCACCCCCGCACCCCGGGTTAATGACCGGCCACCCTCAATTCAGCCGGCGTCCCCATCAGTTGTGACCGTCCCAACCTCCAATTAGAGACCGTCTGGCCCTCACCCCTGGGTTAAGCGGCCGGCTGCCCCCTCTGCATTCCCCAAAGCCCCAGTCGCGTGAGCGTCCACGCCACGTTGACCCCTCCGTGACCGGCCGCCCTGGACAGCGGACCGTGTTGTCGACCTCCCTGTACTCGTGCGTGTGTCTGTGCGTTGTGAGCGTAGGGCTGCGCTCCCCACCCTGTACTGTGGCCAGGCACGTTCTGCGAGCGTCCGTGCACGATGAGGGCCGGTGGCGCCGGCTGGGGGAGCCGACGGCGGCGAGCGGGCCGGGCGGCCGCCGCCAGTGGGGACCGCGCCACCACGGCTGGGGTCCCGGCGGGCTCCACACGCAGATTGGTGTGCCGACAACGGACAGAGAGCGCAGACACCAGACACGACAAATTGGTACCAACTGACACCGCACTGGCCAGAACACACGCCGGCGAGTGGGGGCTCGGTGTCAGATCATAACTGCACACGGCTGCGGACAGCGGGGACCCTTCGCGGGACCGGACAGCGTCTGACGCACGGGAGCGCTGGAGCGGGGCGGCACCCCCCGCGCCGGCCGGCGTACGGGAGCGCTGGAGCGGGGCGGCATCCCCCGCGCCGGCCGGCGTACGGGAGCGCTGGAGCGGGGCGGCATCCCCCGCGCCGGACACAGTCCTCGCTGGCTGACGTCTGGGCGCGGTGACGTCAGCCGCGCCCAGGGAGAACGGCCACACCTGTGCGCCGTGCGCGGCCGACCTAGCGGGGCCTGCCACCTGTGGTGGGGTGGCAGACCTGCCATGTGTGCCGAATCAGCTGGTGTCCCGCGCGCAGGGCATTCCGGGCTTTTTGGTGCCTAGGTGCGACCGCCGGCTTTGCGGCGTCGATGACTTAATCCCATTTCTTGGAAGCTCATACCTGGCGTGGTCAGGCGCGAGTGAATTCCGCGGTGTAATGCAGCGTGGGCGGCTGCTCTCATCGCACACGCGGACAAATCATGACTGACGGCTCCGTGCCAGGGTTGTCGTGCGGATCACGCGATTAGCCGGATTGGCCGCCACGCTTTGCATCGGAAACTCGCTTTTTGTGCAGCACCACAAAATAATTAAACGCTCGCCATAAACGGAGTGGGCGGAGAAGGGTGATGCCATTGGTGTCGGTGAGGGGCGTGCTGCCGCGGTGTCGCTCGCTGCACGGGGTGGCGGGTGCATCGTATGGCCGTCGCTGGTGGCGGTGCGGCAGTGCCGCCGCGCGCCGCGCCCAGCCTGTGACCACTGTGCGCCCTCTTACAGTCCTGCTCGGACGCTGCCAGTTATGCTAGTCTCCCGTCAGACATGAACCGACAGCGTAGTTTGCCCTTGTTCAAAAGGTACGCCCTGGCCTTGTGTGTGTGTGTGAGCGGTAGCCCTAGCGTCGTTAGCCGCCCGCCGCCGGCAGCTGGGCGGCCACCCCGCCTCTCCTCTGTTTGGTTTGCACGCGCCCGGCCTGCCGTCCGCACCACCGCCGAGCCGCCGTGGGTCGCCTGTCGGGCGCCGGCGTCCCGTCACACAGCATCGATCACGGGCCGGCCGGCCGGCGCCGCCACGCGTCCCGTCCGCCGACGCTCACCTCGTTTTTGTGCGCCGTCCGCCGACGGCACGGCGCGGCGCGCCTCGCCTCGCCCCGCCCCGCCTAGCCTCGCCCCTCACCGCGTCACAAAGCCCGCTGGTCTGAGTTTGCGCCGCCGCTCGCCGGCACCGAGTGAGCACGTCTGTTGGACCGCAGCACCCTGCCTTAGGCACCACGTGCCCGTGCTCGCCCACGCTCTCACCTCTCACAGTCACTGGCACCTGGCGTGTGTGAGCGCCGCTCGGCTGGCGTGACGCCGATCTCGCCGGACCGCCCGGCCGTAGCTCCCCCCTCCCTCCCCCCCCCGCTGCCCCCTCGCAGGTGCGTCGCCGCGCCGAGGCGCACCCGGTGAGCCAGATAACGCGCCGCTGGCGGCTCCGGAAGCCCGGAGCGCACGCAGCGCGCTGCGCGTGCCGATAACGGCGCGGCGGTCTGCCGACGGAGGCGGCGCAGCCTTCTTAGAAGCCGACTCTGAGCCGTTTGGTGGACGGGCAATGGCTGGTTTTCTGGATTTCACCACTCGTTTGTTAGTTTTGTTGCCAGCTGTATCGCCAGCCCATTGGATCATGGCGTTAATTCAGCCACTGGATGCGCTTTTAGATAATTAACAACCGCCAATAGTATCTATATGTCTCGTAGATCGCTCCAGCCATTTTCTCTTCCTGCTTTTTGTCGCAGATGCCGTAGTTCACCTGTTTTACTCACTTTGATTCTCTGCCGGTTATTTTACGTGTATTACCCTTTAAATGCGTACTGAAGGGGGACACGATGCGGGCTGCTAAATTGGTGGACGTAGCGAACTGAATGTGAATTGCACCTTAAAGCTCTCTGTATGACCCACCTGCCTCATGCGTATCTACTTGAGCGAAACACTGCTCCCCACCCCCCCCCCCCCCCTCTGTCGGCGACCCCCCCAGCGCTGCCCCGCTCACCGCTGGCTCGCCCCGCCGACAGCAAATGGGGCTCCGAGTCGGCGGCGTCCGGGGCTTCGGCGAGCACGCCGGCGCGGCCGCGGCGGCGCCGCTCGCCGCGCGGCGCCGCCGCCGGCCCGGCCGGGTGGCGCGGCCGCGCCGAGTCGGACGTCACGCCCGCCCGACAGCGCGGCGACTCTGGCGACGAACCGTACGGCGGCACCGATGACGACGAGTCGGTGAGTGGCGGCGCCGCGGAGGACAGCTCCGGCCGCGCTCCGACTGGCCGGGTGCCGCGCCGCTCCGGCCGGGTGCCGCGCCGATCCGGCCGGGTGTCGCGCCGATCCGGCCGGGTGCCTCGCCGATCCGGCCGGGTGCCACGCCAGTACGGCCGCGCCGCGGTCGGCTCGGCGCCAATGACGGCCGGACCCCGAGGCTGACTGATAGCGAAGCTGACTGGCCGGAAGATCAGCCCGGCGCCGGACAGCTATCTCCGTGCCTCGGTGGCCGTATCATGCGATCCATTGACTCGCTATGAACTCACCGACCTGGTGGGTTACTGGGCGCCGTGTTCTCCGAGACCTATGTCCCGTGGCCTGGTGCTACTTGTGGTACCCCCGCCTCCCTGCACAACAGGTCGGCCGAGCTGGGCCAAATATGTCGGAGCGGTGGGTAAACCCCACTAACCAAGACCGACATGACCAAACCGGACGGCCATCGTGACCTGACCTGACCTGACCTGAGCTGACTGCGCTGCAGACCACGCCACTGGTGGGAGCGGCCGCCGACGCGGACGAGCCGGACCACCACGAGCGGCCGGACGAGGCGCGCATGCGGGAGGCCACGGAGACGGTGCAGTCCAAGATAGCCCGCTGGCAAGGAGGCCATCAAGCAGCAGCAGCGAGTCAGGGACGGTAGGCAGACCCCGGCGGAGCCAGCCGCGCTGATGCAGTGCTCTATGTTGTCAGGGACGGTAGGCAACCCCGCGGCGGCAGCCAGCCGCGTTGTGTGCAGTACTCTGTGTGTTGTCAGGGACGATAGGCAGACCCCGGCGGCAGCCAGCGGCGTTGACGCAGTGTTCTGTGTGTTGTCAGGGACGGTAGGCACCCTGGCGGCAGCCAGCCGCGTTGTTGGAGTACTCTGTGTGTTGTCAGGGACGGTAGGCAGAACCCGGCGGCAGCCAGCCGCGTTGTGGCAATCGCTGTGTGTTTGTCAGGGACGGTAGGCAACCCGGCGGCCGCCAGCCGCGTTGACGGCAGTGTTCTGTGTGTTGTCAGGGACGGTAGGCAGACCCCGGCGGCAGCCAGCCGCGCTGAGCCAGTGCTCTGTGTGTTGTCTTGACCGCGCATGGGGTACACTTGCCTGGAACACAATGCCTAGAGTAATACAGATATTGTATGGCAGTGTTGTGAGTAGCGTTGAGCTAGTGCCAACAGGGGCGTGACTGGCTTTCATCTTGGGTTGGCGCAGTCGTCTTGCATTTCACCCTGCGGAACGAAATAGCAGTGTTGCAATGTCTCAAAGATTGCAAACTGAACTGCAACTTGTTGCCGTTTAATGTATCTGGCAAATCTTCTTACGAGATGACTGCGATAACGGCGATGTACCCGCCCAGATATGACCCCTGTGGTCTGGTGGCTCGGGTTTCGTAGACTCGCAATCTGCCTGAGGCCCGGCGCTCGTCGTGACCCCACGCCACGGCATGGTTCAGCCGTGTTTCCGTTAACTGCATCGATCGCATTGCTCAGAGTTGAGCGGAAACTGCAACGACGAGCGCAACTTAATGAACTGACCGACGGGCGTTCGTCGGCTGCACTCGCAAAGACGCTGTCGAGCCGCTCCGTTCGCCGTTTATTTCGATCGTCGATCTCGGGCGCGAGCACCGCTAATTGTCTGTCGCTGTGCCTCACCCGCAGACAACGTGAACGAGTACCTGATCCAGACGGCAGCCGTGCAGGACAAGCAGCAGCAGCAGAAGCTGAAGGCCCTTTTCGAGAAGAAGAACCAGAAGGCGGCGCAGCAGATGGCGCACCAGCAGCGCAAGCTGGAAGTGTACACGCGACGCGCCAAGGAGCTGGAGACGTGCGGCCTCTCGCACCGTCAGCCCAAGGAAGTGCTCAAGGACGTGGGTTACGGACTCAGGTCAGTCCGTCGCCGGGCTGGAGGAGGGTCGCTGCAGACCGGCCCGCCAGCACAGCAGACTGACAGGTCGCGCGTGGGAGGGACGGTCAGGTCGGGGACAGGTGGGAGCTGAAGTTGTAGACTTTGGCGGGCTCGGTCTGTCGGGAGGAGAGCGAGTGTTGTTGTGAACGTGGTGCTGAGGTTGGAGAGATTGCCCGCTGTGCCCAGGTCAATCCGTGTTGCTTGGGACGGCGGGGTAAATGGCTCAGTAGTGGAGCTCTTAAACGCCCGACTCTGATGCGACCGCTCCACAGCCAGCACAAGTTCGTTTCATGCGCCAGATGATGGTGTTCGCTTCAACAATGCAACCGAAATGCGACCGAGCCAATGTCGATTCGGTAGTTTGCGATTGGTCAGCCTGGTAGCGTCGCAGCCTCTCAGGCTTCCATTGAAAATACTCGGCGTCGTCTCTCCTGGTCAGTCGTGTGGCCGTCCTCGCGTCTGCGCTACTGACCACTCCCGCCTTCCGTTGGCCGTTGACGGTTGTGCCCCGCCCGTCGTCGCCCTTCTGACGGGCGGAGCGTGCCCTGCCCGCCGTGATGGGCCATGACCGCCGTCGCCCCTCTAAGGGGCGCAGCGTGCCCTGCCCGCCGCGGTCGGCCCTGCCCACCGCCACCCCTCTGACGGGCGGAGCGTGCCCTGCCCGCCGCGGCCGTGCCCTGGCCGCCGCCACCCCCTCTCCCCCCCCCCCCCCTGACGGGTGGAGCGTGCCCTGCCCTCCGCGGTCGTGCCCTGGCCGCCGCCACTCCTCTGACGGGCGGATCGTGACGGGCCGGCGGCGGGAGGGGGCGGGGTTCGTCTCCGTCCGGCCGGACCGTGTTGACCGGATGACGTCGGCGCATGGCGCGGCCGGCGCCCGGCACCGGTTCCGGCTGCAGGGCATAGCCGGTAGTCGGGCCGCGGCCGGCGCTCGGCCGAGGTCGCCGCCGGCTGCGGTGTGGGGTGTGGAACGCCGCTGCGTGACGCGCGAGAGGACCGCGCGGCGCTGTGAGCAACCGTCGGCCGTGCTCCGTGGGTGTGGAGCGGCCGGCGCGGTGGGCGCCGGCAGACGTGCGGTTGCTTGTCTGGCCGCCGGTGCTGAGAGTGGCGCTCTGTTCCAGGAACGTGGGCGGAAACATTCGGCACGGCATCACCGGGCTTTCCGGGTACGTATGCGGCTGTCGGTCGTCCCTCCCGTGGGCCGGCGGACACCCCTGGCGACAACCAGTTGACTTTTGTAGCTTTAACGCTCGTATTTAGCTCGCTCCCTATGTGGCCCTCGCCCCCGCTCGCTTTATTGGCTCTTGCTTCCGCTCCCTTTGTAGGCTCTCGCTCCCGCCCCCGTTGACGGCTCTCATTTAGATTTCATGTAATTTTCTCTTGCGTGCGTGGCCGGGAGTGCCTCTTCATGTTGGCGGTCCAATGGAGCAAAGGGCCACATATTCTGCCCGACAGGAAGCGGTGACACTGGCTCGCACAGTCCGCGCTGCTCTGTTGTCGAGTTGTTACGATGTATTTAGATGTCTGTTCTTGCGCTGATGTGGTGACGCTGAAGCCGTTGCTAGCTACGCTCTGCGCGTGTGTGGAAGATAGACAAGCCATGTGCCATTGCTTAGCATCCATTCAGCTTTCACGTTCAGTTCGCTAGCCGTATGCCAGCGCTGGCACCAGTGGCGCCGGAGGCACCGGGGTGCAGGCGGACGCGCACCGCGCGGGACCGTACATCACCGCGCTGACCGCGCCCGGGCGGTGGTCACCTGTGTTCTAAGCGTCCTGTCTGGTCCTGCAGGGCCGTGGTGGGCAACATGAAGGGCGGTATCCAGGGAGCGGCGGAGTAAGTGCCGATGCCAGCTGGTGTGTCCGGGTGGTGACGGTGATAACGGTGACGTCCGAGTCCCAGCCTCAGCTCCAGCCCCAGCCACAGTCACAGTCACAGTCACAGTCACAGTCCCAGTCCCAGACCCGATCCCAGTCCCAGTCCCAGTCCCAGTCCCAGTCCCAGTCCCAGTCCCAGTTCCAGTCCCCGTCCTGGTCCCAGTCCCGGTCCCAGTCCCAGTCCGGGTCCCAGTCAGGGTCAGCTGGTGTTCACCTGTGTTGATCAGCTGCACATATGTGGTGCCGGCGAGTGCCCAGCAAGCGCCTCGTGCACCGCCATCCCGTGCCGTTGTTGGGATGGTCGACAACAAACAAACGCTTGCCATTGTCTTACGTGGCGTTTCCATCTAGAAACACTTCAAAATTCTGTCAAGGCTCTCGTGCGTGACTTTCGAGTGTGCCAGGAGCATACTCGTCTGAAAGTCTGAATCTATGATATTTGTGTCGGATACGCCACGAATCAGTTGAAGCGTCCCGTCTGTGGTTACCACGCTGCGCTGTTGCGTTACACATGTGGCACGTGCTCCGATGTGAAATATCCCCATCTGGGCGCCGTGCCGCCACGACTGCACGTGCGAGAGTCGAGCATCTCGGCGTCACCCCTGGGTCGGTACCCCTGTCGGCCTGTGGGCACGTGTGTGTCGGTCGCCGGCGCGTCCGCCCGACACGCCGGCGCGCTATTGTGCGCCGGCACGTCCGCCGGCGCACCCCCAGCCGGTCGCCGCCGCCGCCGCCACCGAGCGCCGCCCGGCCGCGCATGTGCCGGCAGCCGCCGCGAGGGACGGGGCGGGGCGTGGGCCGTCGTGCCGCGCACCTGGTCGGCGGAGGCGGCTCAGAGGAGCGCGGCGGTGTTTGTGTGTGCTGTGCCGTGCCCGCCGGGGTGTGTGAGAAGCGACGCGGCCGCCCGGCGCTCTGTGTATTGTCAGTGCACTTCTGTAAACCTCAGCTAGAGAAGCGGTAGTTTACTCGCTGCTGTTTGCACACTGTCGGCGCTGGATTTCACGTGTTGTCTCTGCGCGCGGAGCGTTGGTTGGTGCGGTCACCGCCTACGGCGGTGTACATTTCGCGTCAGTGACGCCGTGCGGTGGTGTGCTTCGATGACCTGGACTTGGTGTCGTCTGACCTGCTGACCCCATCTGCGCCCCTCAGGACGGTGATGTCCAAGCCTCGCGAAATTGCTCACCTGCTGAAGAACAGGTTCGGCAGTGCCGACAACATCACGGCCCTCACTAGTGAGTGAACGTAGCGGGTTTAACGGGAATCACTAGTGACAACTCGGTGCAGCCGCTAGCCATGGCAACATGAGACATCCTTCATTTGACCATGATTTTTTGCAGGGTGTGAAGTATCTAATAATACTCAGGTGTGAGGGTGTGTAAGTATATAAAAATAATATAATTCAGGTATTTTCCGCACTTGAACGTGTTCCGTTGGAATACTAATCGACCAAGCAGGCCTTCTCCAACGTTTGCTGGTAATCATAGCGACGGGCGGTGTTTTGGATGAAGTTGACTGTCCTATCGCCGCTCATTGTCAGCCCACTGTCAGTTATGTGCGTACAGTGTGCGGCGCTAGCCTGCCTGGCGTTGCAGCGGCCGCTGACGCGGGGTCGCCACCCTCCACAGACGACTCGTCGGAGGGCACACCCACGCGCAGCCACCACGGCAGCTCCACCCTGCCGCCGGGCATCCCCTCGTCAGCCGTCAGCGGCAACACCAGCGTCGGTGAGTCGCCGGCGTCGCTGCACCGGCCGTCGGCGTCGCTTCTCAGTGAAGACCGGCGGCCGGTCTTGTCTCCCACTGACGGCGTAGTCAGGTTTTCTCTCGCGGTCACGTCTTCCGGGCCGGTCAGGCCTGCTCTGTGAATGACAACCCGATGCCTGCTGGGTCGTCCTCGGTGTCCCGTCTCCATCGCGCGGTCTCGTTTGTGAGACCCTCAGGTCGGGATTGTCCCCCCTCCCGGGTGGCGCCACTGCGCCCCCCCCCCCCCACCGGCAGGTCAGCTGCGCTCTGACGAGGGGAGCGACCTGAGCAGCGCGGCGAGCGAGCCCGGTGCCCTGGCCACCACCTCTCCGCGGCACCAGGCCAGCGTGTCGTCGGCCGGCGCTGCCGCCACCACCGACGGCGCGCTCCTCCTCTCCGAGCTGCTCGAGCGCAAGGAGGAGTGCGACCGGCTGCGCGACGACGTCGACACGATCAAGGCGACGCTGCAGCAGGAGATCACGCTGCTCTCGCAGGCGCTTCAGGAGGAGCGCTTCCGCTACGACCGGCTCGAGCAGCAGATGAACGACTTCATCGAGCTGCACCAGAACGAGGTGACGCGGCCGTCCGATGCGACCGGGAGCGCCCGTCAACGGCGCGATGGGAAGTCGTGCTGTGCGAAGCGTGGGAGGAGCTAGTAGAGCGATTTCACGATCGAGATCCAGTCAGTGATCACCATGGTGTGCTCTGTGGATGATCGCTTGGGTCTGTTGAGATGCATGTGGCGTAGTTGCACTACGTCGGTTAAGTACATTGCTGTCGGTGGGATATCTGTTGGCGCTGGGGATCCCTGTGTAGCTGGGATGTGTAACTAACCGTACCGCACCGTCCGTGCGCCCAGGTGGAGAATCTGCGCCAGCACATGCATGACATGGAAGAGAAGGTCCAGTACCAGAGCGAGGAGCGCGTCAGAGACATTCACGAGATGATGGACAAGTGTAATACTCGGGTGAGTGGTCGTGTCCCGGCTCATAGCGCAGGGCCTCATGAGAGTCCGTCGCGGCCGTCACCGACCATCA